GCCACATTTGGCTGATTTCACCCAGTCTACTAAGCCAATACCACACTGCATAATATCTTGACATACTTGGTGAATTACCCCAATTGTAGATCATTCAATGAACCATTCTTAAACGAACAATCGGTTAGCACAATGTGGGAATTCAATCTCTATCTCTGCTTAACCACCTGCTAGTCCATCTAATAGTAGCAGTTAATTAAGACACAAAACAGAGCATAAAGCAAATCTGCCTTTCCTTTCAACATCTTTTCCAGGGTATGCTGCCTCTAAATTACTTTAACGTGGTTAATATTGAAAGAAATATTCTCTGTGACTGTATTAAGTGAGCCATGGTTTTCTCAGTTAATTCAATTTTCTGCACTGGCAAACACCTCCAGCATTAACCACTTGGAATAGGTTTACATAGTAATCAGTTGAAGTAACAGGAGCTTAGCTACTCTGTGGTTTAATGTGTTATGTGGAGAAAGCCTAGGATTTTAAATTAACCGAAGGTCCTTAGATTTCCTTACTAATCTACTCTAAAGTCTTTACTTCCACTTTATTACGTGCAGCCATTCCCTGACAATACCAATCTCATCCCTTGTGCATGACATTACTTTCATCTCAACCACCACGAGTTGAGTTAGACAGTTAAAAAGAAACCCAGACATTTGGAAGATGTAACTATTGATCTGAGATCAATAGACAAATCAATAGAACAAGATGAACTCCCAGAGAAAATCTTTTAAAAGACAAACCACGTAAATTGAACAAGGCGAACACCACTTCTTGTTAACTTACAACACACAATTCAAACCAGTCAAACACATTATTAATAAACTGCAGCCCATACTGGACCATGGCACCTACTACTGAGTGACAGACCCAGACTTGTATGCTGACAAGCATCTGACCTGAAGCAGTTTCGCACAAAGGAACAGGAAACAACAGGACAATGATGCTAACATGGGAAGCAGATCCCGCAATAAACCCAGATGTTTATGTTGCCCCCACATCTACACCAACAGCCCCACCAGAGGTCTCAAAAAGTACAAAGACAAAATTAGAGATGCTTTCTCACATTTTTCCACTAATGTGATATGTGCCACATTTTTCAGCAATGAATTCTGGATTCTGTGAATGATAAACAGGACAAACTTTTCTCCTAAGATAAGTTGTTTAATTAGTTAAGTTTGATAACCAACTTAACCAAAACCACTCAGTAAGTTTGCAATTAAAACAAATAAAAAAGAAGTCAGTAGGAATTTCAGCAAACAAATAAAATTAATAGTTGAAACCAACAGTAAAAAATTGTATAAAACGTGTGTTTTAAAGGGTTTTGTTTTTGTTTTAAAGCTAATGAACAGGCCTCTCAACTCTTCACAGCCCAAAGATCTGGGGCAGCAATAGCAGAGAACGATTGATCTTGAGTCGCTGCCACATAAACTCACAGCAACTCTCAATACACCTGGAGGTTCCTATAGAAAGAGGCATCTTCTCCACCCTTAGTCTGGATCTTTGTTGTGTAGAAATAAACTGGTGGCCTATGTGGTGCCTGAACAGCAAATGTCACAATATACAAAACCTACCTACCAAAATCTTGAATTAACTGAAGTCTGTGGACCAGACTCTGCCCTCCCTTAGAATATATCATATTAACAAAGGCATTTCTAATAACCGCACAGGTCAAAGTTGAACTCTACTCAAGTTGAACAAGGATCTAAAGAAAAAGCAGTAGAAAATACATCTCCAAGCAACCTGCCTACATCCTAAAGTATTTAAACTGAAAGTGAACTGGTCTAACAATAAAAGAAGACTGAGTAGACACTGTCATAGTAGTCTATACTGTACATCAAAGCTGGCATCCAGATTGACTTGAACATGAGAGATTTAATCTGAAAAACACTAATTGAAAGCAGAAACCTCTGAGGATGCCATAAAAGAATGTCTGGAGGAGTAGGTGTGGATCTAATTCAGCCCTTTCCTAACATAAAACAACTCAACAAGCAGATGTAATACATGTAGAATCCCCCCAAAACCAAAACCAAAACCCCACCATTGGCTTTCCTATGACTCTGGCTTTGCCCTCTCAAATTTGAGTTACTATTCTTCCATCATTGCTTTAGCTGTTTACTTTGCTGTTTCAGCTTCATTGTTCGTCCGTATACCTTAGAAGCATTTTTGAAAGAGATCAAAAAGAACTCTTTGGAGAAATTGTGTTCACTGTCCTACTAAGCATTTTATTCCTGGTACCAAGCAGATCATAAAATCACTAGTGTAGTCATCCAAAACCCTTCCATAGTGTCTTGGAATCCAGCTGAATCCAATAATTGTTTCAGGTAGATCATCTTAATAAGTCCATTAGTCTGCAAAGGTCAGATGGAGTGACTAAAGCAACTTGAACAGGATAGTGCTTTGTCCATAACACAGGTAGTCTTCGTTCAGCAACCAAAGTTACAATGGCGCTGAAAAAGAGACTTATGAACAGTCCTTGGAATTGCAGCCATTGTAGCATCTCCCCAGTCATGTGATCACAATGTGGATGCTTGGCATCCATTTTCAAGTGGCAGCATCCCATGGCCACACGGTCACCATTAATGACATTCACAGCTGGCTTCTGAAAAGCAAAGTCAATGGGGAGGCTGGCAGGAAGTCACATGTCAGGTTCACATGACATCACAATGGTCCATGATATTTTGCATAACGACTAGAACTTGACGAACTTACGTTATAAATTGACACAGTCACATGACTCCATTTTACAACCATGTCACTTAGGGGTTAGAATTGCTGGTCCTAATTGTAGTCAGTGAGGATTACCTATAATTGGGAAACTTGAGGTGTCCCCAACCATGGAATACCTCTCTAATCAGAACACAATGTCGTGAATCATGTCTTGGCCTTGCAATCAATTAGGAAAGGCTCATAGACATGGCTGCTATATGTTGAACCGTTCTTGAGGAACCAGTCCCAAGTAAATATTTAAATTTTCCAGCACCAAAAACCTAGAAGTCTTCAATGCTGAAACCGGTTCAGTTAATGGATCACAACTGCTAAAGTCACGTCACACTCAATATATGAATCACTTCCCTCCCAAGTATTGTCAAATTTTTGGCAGCCAACTGCAGCCAAAAGCATATTTCCCAGTTTCCTTCAACAATATTTGTTAAAGAGGAGCGGACTAACACTACAAATATCTCAGCAGCTACATTGCTTTGATTTTAGAAGTCAACTGACTGCTCAGTTTGTTGAGGCAGAGACTCAGATGGGGGTCATTGATTTTGGATTTATTAATAATAGCCTCTCTGTGAACTGGCAAGGACACCATTTTTTAGACCCTTTAGATTAAGAAATGGGAGGTGACACTCCGTCAGGATAGATCAGACTAGGAATCCAATATCTTGTACGTCAGTACAGGTAGTCCTCGACTTACAACCACAATTGAGCCCAAAATTTCTAATTGCTAAGTGAGACACTTGTTAAGTGAGTTTAGACTTTTCTTACCACAGCTGTTAAGTGAATCACTGCAGTTGTAGTAACACAGTTGTTAAGTGAAGTAGGTTTTCCCATTGACTTTGTTTGTCAGAAGGTCGCAAAAGGGAATCACATGATCCAGTGGGACATGGCAACTGTCATTAATATGAATCAGTTCCCAAGCATCTGAATTTTGATCACATGACCATGGGGATGCTGACACAGTCGTAAGTGTGAAAAACTAAGTGTCATGTCACTTTTTTTTGCTGCTGTTGTAACTTTGAAGAATCACTAAATGAACTGTTGTAAGTCGAGGACTACTTGTACTACTTTTATTGTACAGTTATAGTAAAAGAATCTTGCAAATCTAAATGCACTTCCTGTCCTGCTTCCTTTTAACTTTGTGAGAAGTAGAGAGAGCTTATTCGAGACATTTAGTCAGATTACATTCCTGTGCTGTCTTGGTCATGACTGTTCCTCCCATTCCTCAAGGCCATTCCTTCTTCCCTCTACAGAAGCTCCAAAGGTTTCCCAACCAGCCTATGAATCTTTCAGGCCCTGAACGTACCATTACAATTATCCTGATAAGGGGAAGATGGTTCTTATGAATCAGTCACACCACTTCCCAAGTGCTTTCCCTTGGCTAGTTCTACTACAGGGCTCTCCAAACTTGGCAACTGTAAGATTTGTAGATTTCAACTCCCAGAATTCCTCAGCCAGCATGGAATTCTAGGAATTGAAGTCCACAAGTCATCAAGTTTGGAGACCTAGAGTAACCATCTGAGTCTCATATCAGCCCACCTGCTTCCCACTGCAGCCAATTCTCTGTCCTTCAAGGTGAATTAGCTTACTTGGAAATACAGGACTCTATTTTATTTTGGATTCAACCTGTCACTATGGGGGGGGGGCAAAAACGAGGTTCTTGGAATGGCAGGAACTGGTCTCTGAGGCTTGAGAGATAACCAGGCAAGAGAAAGGGAGGATTATTTGTTCAATTTATACAGCCGCCAATCCAAATACATATCTTTGTATTTGAGACATACATACTGACACTCCCCCACACAAAATCAACAGTAAAATAGTAAAAAATTATTAGAGATAATCTTTAACCTATGACCACGACTGAGCCCAAAATTTCTGTTGCTAAGTGAGACAATTTTTAAGTGAGTTTTGTCCCATTTTATGACCTTTCTTGACACAGTTGTTAAGTGAATCACTGCAGTTTTTAAGTTAGTAACACAGTTGTTAAGGCTTCCCCATTGACTTTACTTGCCAGAAGGTGGCAAAAGGTGATCACATGATCCCCGGACACTGCAACTATCGTAAGTCTGAACCAATTGCCAAGCATCTGAATTTTGTTCACATGACCACGGGGATGCTGCGACAGTTTAAGTGTGAAAAAGTTCATAAGTCACTTTTTTTCAGTGCCGTTGTAACTACTAACAGTCGCTAAAGGAATGGCTGTAAATCAAGGACTATCTGTATTCTAATCCCCCTTCCCTTGTAAAGGCCCACCAGGCTGTTAACACTAAAATTTCTATTTTCAGTTATTAGAAACATGAAAATCATGGAAATATTGAGTTGGAAGAAACACATGGATCCTCCAGTACCTTTGCAATGTGCAAGAAAACAAGTTGTCCATCTTTAGAAGCTCCAAAGATGGAAAAGCCACATCTTCTAGAGATACAACCCAGGTTCCATAGGTGCAGCCCCGCCTCCTCCCCATGTGGGGCAGAAGAAGCAGGGTCCAAGGCAGAGGTGGGTTCTACTTACCTTTACTACCAGTTCGCAACGGGGTCGTGCGTGTGCCTTGCTTCTGCATATGCGCAGAAGCTTCTGTGCATGCGCAGATCGCCGATGATGACATCCGGGGTAGTGGGTGGGGCCTACTGCCAGTTTTACTACCAGTTCTTGCAAACCGGTCCAAATCGGGGGCAACCCACCACTGGTCCAAGGGCTGAGATAATAGTGTATTGCAATTCAAACTCTATTGCTATTGTATTTTCACAATGATTTGCATTCAAGTATCTCAGGAAACGGGATTTTTCATTGTCATATTGTGGTCAGTTGAGGATGATTCTGCCCCCACATACTCTGATAAACTGGCCAAATACTAAAGGGATTGTGTATGTGTGTGTGCATATACCACGCGCCTCGCGCACACCCAGACAGACAAACAAAGGAATTCATCCACTCAGCATCAAAGCAGGAAGACTGTTAGGAATCCTTATCTTATCACCCACCAGCAGCCTTGGGAACAAAGCCTGAAGTACTCAGTGCTCTACCTTTCATTAGATTAAAACAAAAAAACCTCTGATGACTGAGTTTCAATCTGCAATAGACATCCCATTTCTTATACAGGATGAATGTCATAATAGCCCTATTTTGTATTTCTTTTAAAGCTTTATCCAGGCCAACCAAACTAGATGAGGCTGGTAAGAAAGCTGTCTCAGTCCCTTACAACAAGGAAAGAAAGCACAGCAAGAAAAGAAAAGATTAAAATATTTTAAAAGCTTTTTTTTTTTGGTGGTCTTTGAGCTGTCCTAATAAAAGTTTTGTTCTAAACTGGATTTGATAACTTTTATTGTCACTTTTCTATATACACAATGGCACACATTAAAATGAAATTCTGATACCTGCTCTCAAAAAGTATATATATTCGTGTGTACGCACACACACACATTTTATTAAGGAATATGTCATTTATTATAAGTTATAGAATAGAATTCTTTATTGGCCAAGTGTGATTGGACACACAAGGAATTTGTCTTGGTGCATACGCTCTCAGAGTACATAACAGAAAAGATACATTCATCAAGGATCATAAGGTACAACACTTAATGATAGTCATAGGGAAACAGTCAATATTAGTCTTAAGATTACAGTCATACAGTCATAAGTAGGAGGAGATGGGTGATAGGAACAATGAGAAGATTAATAGTAGTGCAGACTTAGTAACTAGTTTGACAGTGTTGAGGGAATTATTTGTTTAGCAGAGTGATGGCATTCGGGAAAAAAATGTTAATGCGTCTAGTTGTTCTGGTGTGCGGAATTTTAATTTAATTTAATTTACAATTTAATTTAATTGTACTTTAATTACACAAACATAAAAAATATAATACATATTGATTATGAGTTATATTTGGAGTGTTATTTTTAAATGCAGTAATAATATTGATCTGCAAGCTTGGAAGGTGATCCCAAATTGAACGGGATTTATTTCAATCAAAATAACTAATGTTTCTGGATATGACCGTAAGAACGGTATTCAGGACAACTCTTGTTAAAGTTGCTATAAAACCTAGCACATAGTATGAAAGCCTTTGCACATCCAGTCCATTTTCAAATAAAAAAAAAGAATCAAAAGAGCGTCTCCATTAGAACAGACCTGTTGAGCTAGCTAGACCGGCTCATTAACTTCACCCCTGAATCACTCACACCTTGCCCAGGTTGCTGAGGTAGACAGTACTTTGTGGCAAAAGCCAAAATTAAATTAGTTCGTACAGTCTTATAAATCATAACTTGAAAACCACAATGTGTTAGGCTCACCCATGCAATTCAAAACAAAACCGCAGTTCTGGATTAGCAACATGTCTGAACCAGTCAGTAGACTAGACGCAGAGGTCTTCACACTTGGCAGCTTTAAGACTTGTGGACTTCAACTTGAAGTTGAAGTCCACAAGTCTTAAAGCTGCCAAGTGTGAAGACCTCTGAACTAGTCTAGTTTCACCCCTCACACTAAGAAGCCCCGGTTTTTGTTTACCATTATTTATTTATTGAATATAAGCTAATATCGCATCGGACACACTCAACCATAAACCCATATAAACCCAACGGCTGGTTTTGTACCAGGTTTTGGTTGAGCTGTGGGTGAATCAGTGAATCAGTTCTGGGGAGGGGTCGCCTAGAAATCCTTGGATTTTTATGTCCCTCCATCGATTTCGATGGAGTGTGGCTTCACCTCAGTTCATTTATAATAATAAAATAAAATAAAATAAAATAATAAAATAAAATAAATATTGTTTGTTTGTTTTGTTTATTAGATTTATATAGATTTATTATATTTATAATACAATAATACAATAATATAATATAATATAATATAATAATAAATAAATAATATATAATATAATAAATAAAATAAAATAAAATAAAATAAAATAAAATAAAATAAAGCCCCAATATACTAGTTATAGTTATCGCGCTTGCAAGCGGTCTGACTCTGACAAACGCGCGGGCGGATTCCCCGAGCGCGCATCGCCTCAGCGAAGCTCTTAACCGCCAAAGCGCCTTGCCGGCCTTCAGAACGCGAAGGGGGCGGGGCAGATGTTTTCCAGATGGCTCCGCCCAGACGGCGTTTGACTGGCAGAACCTCACGATCTCGCCACCTCCGCCCCCCCCCCGCCCCCCTCCCGCTCCCCGCTGGTATGCGAAGGGAGGGAGATGGAATGACGCCGAGTCTGGGTCACGTGGGGGCGTGTGGAATGCTAACAATGTAGCGAATGTCCCAACTGTGTCCCGCGGCCGCCGCATTCGGAGCCCGAGAGGGGGAAAGAGAAGAATGGAGAAAGAGCCGCGCGCCGGAGGCGGACGCCGCCGCGGACGCCGCAGCCACGGGAGGGGAGCCGCGGAAGCTGCCCCCAGACTTTCCATTGGGCATTAAGGGGAAAAGCCAGGAGGGGGTGAGTACGGGAAACCCCATTCCTGCTTAGTGCAAGGGCTGCGGAGGGGTGGGACCAGGGTTTCCCCGGGGTGGGGGGTGGGCGCGCGCGCGGACAGGCTGGTCCCCCTCCCTCTTCCTTCGCTCCTTTTGCAGCTTTTCTGCCGTCCTTCTCTTAAAGACCAAGGTGGGCACCGTTCTGGAATGGGGAGGAGCGGGAGGCATTTGGCCCCGGGAGCTTCTTCGTCTCTGGTGCAAAAAATTATTCTAATTGCTTCGGGCGGGTAGGAGAGTCGGGGAGCCGGCAAAGGCAGCCGTGCCTTCTTGGAAGTTGGAAGAGGTTCAGGAAACCAAAGTTGGTCCCAAGCCGCGGAGGAGGGGAGCCCTGGCCGAGGAGCGGAAGACGGAGTGGCGGGGTGTCACGGGGCAGGAACGGCTGGGAAGACCTGTGTAAAGGCTTGGAAGGGAAGGGACTCCTGGGTAAGGAGGCAGAAGGGCTGCATCGGCCAGCCTTCTTTAAATTGGCGGGACTGGTCAGCCTTGGAGGCCCCCCCCCCCGGGGCCAAACCCACCCTTTGCCGCTGAGGCTGAATGAAGTCCGCTCAACCCCGCCGCCGAATCTGGACGCGGAAAAAAATCGCCCAGCGATTTGAAAGGCGGATCTTCGGCCCGCTGAATTGGCTGGTCTTCTTAAGGCGAAAATTGGGATATATTCCTCTCTGTCTTGGGCTCGGTGGGGAAAAAATTGTTGCCGACCAGAAAAGCCCTTTTGCCTCCATCCTGTTTTTGTGGCCAAGAGAAAAGCCCAAACTATTCGCTTGCCCTTCGCGTTGCCAGGACGGCATCCCCCCACACCCTCCCCCCGGGGCCGTGCAGCCGTCTTGGAAGGCGCTCCGTGCAGCCCGATCTCGCCTAGGGAGCGTTTTGAATGTCAGGGAGCGCGTTTGTTTTCGTCTCGTGAGAATGATGATGACGGAGCCTTGTCTAGACGGGTGTGCCGCGGGGAAACGAGCGTTTACACGCGAAGGAAAGTTGCACGGTTAGTGGAGTGAGGCGTAGCGGGACCTGTGGAACCTTTGAACCGGCAACGTTGATCAAAGCTTCTTGGAAAGTGTTAATTCCTACAGCGGACCTGTCAAGAGCCCGCGGTAGGGTATAGGAGGTCCGGTCCTTTCCGAGCGTAACATGGCGGAATCTGAACAGTCTTGGGGAGGTTTGTTTCGGATTAAAAACGCGGAGTAAGGAGAGTGAGGCTTTCTGGTTTTAATTCTATGTGCCAGGAATGCGTCCAAAGGTGGAACTCCACCGCCCGATCCTATACAGCGCAACCTCTCTGAGATTGTGTGTGTGTGTGTGTGTTTCTGTTTTTAAACAAAAGAAACAGACGCCAAAGGACGGTGCGAAAGGTCTTGCGACTCTTGCGGACAGGAGTGGCCGAGGGACCTTCGCTCATTCGCCAAAGAAGCGTCGCTCCTCTCGAGGGCTGCATCCGCTCTGGGGGTTTTGCGCCCTTCCAGGAGAGATCTTAACCCGTCGAGTTTGAAGGATCGGGCCCGAAGAGTTTGGGTGCCTGGCCTTTACCGAGCCCGACCCGGGCCGGAGCGGGCTCTCTTTCTCTCTCTCTCTGACCGCGCTGGAGGCCTCTCGTTGCTCCCACCGGAAGAGCCGCAGCCAACGCCGAATAAACTTTCCAGTTTTAGTCAAGTCAGGCCCGCGCTGCGCTGAGGGAAGCTGCGCCTTATTCCGCCCTGTCCTTAAGTTTCCGTCGGAGGAGCCGGCGCCGCCGCCTCTTCCCTGGGCTTGGCTTGGTTTCTGAGGTCGATGGGAGTTAGCATGAGGAATGGGCAGGACCGTCCCGGAACTTCTGCCTTGACGACCGCCGCCCCTTGCTGATATTTCCTGGATAGGACTCTGGCCGAAGGTTGAAAAAGATTTGGGGGTGGGAGGGAGAGAGCCACGGTTATAAATGGACTTTATTGCCTCTTCTGTGTCATATGTTTCATAGAATCATAGTGTTGAAAGGGACCTTGGAGATCTTCTAGTCCAACCCTTGCCCTGGGTAGGAATCTTTGTTGCAACCAGACAAATGACTTTTAAAACCTCCAGGCACCAGAGAGGCTGCTCCCCTGCTTAATAATTCCCATAGTCATGAAATTTCTCCTTATTTCAAGTTTGGATCTCTGTCTGCCCACTAGCTGTTACCCTATTTTTCCTATCCTATCCTATCCTATCCTATCCTATCCTATCCTATCCTGCCCACTAGTAGTTATCCCATTTTCAGGTGCTCTGGACTGGAGAATAAATGTGCACCCTCTGATTTGTGACAATCTGTCATGTATTGAAAGAGTGCTATCAAATATCCCTGAGCCTGCTCTTTTTTAGGCTAAAGGGATCAAGTTTCTTTCACCAATCTTCATAGGGTTTAGTCATCAAACCCATCAGCGTCTTTGTCTCGCTTTCCAGTTTCTCAGCATCCTTGTATTGTGGCAACTGGAACTGAACATGGTGTTCCAGATGTGGTTTGACGGGTGCAGCCTAGAGCAAAACTATTGCTGCACATTTATTTATTTGCTTACAGATTTATATAGCCATCCAAATCACACGTGGTGGTTTCAGCCAGCTTACAACATTAAAACAATTCAAAGCATAAAACCTATACAACCCCTCCTTTCCCTCCCTAGTGGCAACAAATACAATCATATCAACCACTTGATTTTCTGTATCAGCCTAGGGTCCCCAGGCCCACAGATAGTACCATATCTTTAGTGCTTCCCAGACAAGTAATAAGGTGCGAGGGAAGGGAGTCTTATCTCTGGGGGAATGAACTCCATAGGGAGGACACTACTATTGAGAAGGCCCTTTTGATTGTCCCAATTGTATTTCCCTAATAGATGGGACCCGCAACATGCCATGCCTTCTCGCCCCAGTGAGTCAGGTCGATGTATCTCAGGAAAGGTACTAACCTGGCTTCAATCATATAGGATTTTAAAGGTGATAACCAGCATCTTGAATTGCATCAGAAGCAAATCGGCAACCAATGCAGCTTTTGCAAAAGAGATAACATGCGCCAATCTAGACTTGCGCAAAACTCTGCAGGCTGCTGTATTTTGAACCAGCTGAAGCATCTGGATACTCTTCAGGGACTGCCCCATGTAGAGCACATTACTATAGTCCAAATGGGAGGTGACTAGGACATGCATGACTGAGAAGGACACACTGATTCAGTAGAAGCATAACTGGCAAACAACTTGCACTTGTGCAAAGGGCCTCCTGGCCATGACTGCTTCCTGCTCCTCAAGCAGGACTTGTGACTCCAGGAGATGCCTAGATTACAGACTGCGCCTATTTGGGGCAGTGCAGCCTGATCCATAACCAGAGATGGGATTTCCCCCAGAGCCAAGGAGCCCCAAACCCAAAGCCTCTCTGTCTTGCCAGCGTTCAGGTTTCGACCGTCTGTTGCTTCTTAATAGCCTCCTGGCACAGAGGGAAGGTGGTCGCATAACATCGCATAACTGCATGGGCAGCATTGTACAACTGAGTATCATCAGCCTACTGGCGATATCTCACTCCCCATGGTGATGGATCATCTCCTAAAGCAGAAGTTAAACAGGAGCAGTGACAGCACAGCCCTTGTGGCTTTATATACGTCTATTGATGGAGCCCGAGATTGCACTGGCTACATGGAGAGCTATAGGAAAACCTTACATCTTTTGATATGCAGCTGCATTTTGTTGGATACGGCACAGTGTTGAAGTCTCTCAAAATCCTTTTTGGATTTTGTTGGAGTCTGGTTTTAGTGATGTTGTTAACAACCTGACCAAACTTGGTGTCATCTGCAGATTTGTTGAGCGTCGCTTTGCCTAACTTATTGATAAAAATGAGGAGCACTGGGCCCAGAAAAGAATCTCTTGCATAACTTTCGCCATGTTTGATTCCTATAGACATTTCTACATGTGATGCTAAACCTATTATATTCCATATGAAGGGGAAGTCTATATTGTTAGAAATGTGACTTTCTTTTGTTCCCCTGACAAAGTTATTGCAGTTTGAGAAATAGTAGCAGTGATATCAAAGAGAAGTTAAATGAGACCCTATTGGACAGAAATATGGGACTGGTAGGACATAGTTGATAGCTTTGATAAGAGAGGAAGCTAATTTTGACATTTATAAATACTAATTTCCCATTCTTTGGGGATTAAGAATTTTCTAGTTTCATATATTTCATCAATGATTTTTAAAGAGTGTCCTGAGTGGAGTTTGGATTTTTTTGAGAATTCAACCTTCCCTGGTGACTTTTATTGAGAGTAGGTAGATAAAATTTTTTAAATTCTTATTTTTTTTAAAAATGCTCATCTTATGTCTTAAGGCCTTTTATAGTCAACACTTCCGTTTTATCACACCCAGACAAGTAGCTGATGAATCTTTCCTATGAAAACTAATGTCACAAAAATGTTTTTGGCAACAAAATGAGTTTTCTTTTTGTTGTCTGCTGCATTAAGCTGATTTTAATTCCAGAAATGAAAATTTAGTATTGACAATAATTGTTCCATGAAAATACAAGCTTCTACATGCTTACCAACTACCCAGAGTTGGTTAGAATCAGGTAGCATCAACATTAAATTAATATAAATACCTGAAAAATAAGTCTTGTTAAATTAAACTTGGCTTATAACTATTGTTATAGTTGGCAATATATCAGCATCAGATTGCACCAGAGTTATTTTAATCAATATACTGTAACTATAGAAAACTGAAATGTAAAATAGAGTTTAGGCCAGGGGTGAGTTCTAAATTTTTTTTACTACCAGTTCTGTGGGCGTGGCTTATTTTGTGGGTGTGGCTTGGAGGTCATGTGACTAGGCATGGCTAGCTGGTCAGAGTCATTTCTGGAAGGTCCTCACACTTACGACCAGTCCTCGCACTTATGACCCGACTCATTTGTTTGCTTTTAACACTGATCAGCTGTAGGACGGCCCTTTGAAGCCTGGGGGCAAGAGTTTAAACAGTTTTTTTCCTTCTAGT